GGTAGAAACAGAGGAAGTCTAAATTATGCAGCATTAATCTGACAAGTACAGTGAACTACTGTATTATTGCTTGTTTGCTCATGTTTACATTTTGTTCACAAAAGTATAATTTTTGTTTTACAACTGTGTGGTAAATTAGGGTGTGGCTTATTCTGTGACCAGCTCATTCATCATCTGTTCCAATGTCATTATGGTGTGTCTTCCTGGAATGCAGAGACTGAAAAGCTTAAACTATGTTTCCCAGGTTCCTTTGCTGTTAGAGTTCTAAATGAGACTTAGGTTCCTTCAATCAAATGCATTCACATGGGACCTGAAAAGGAACTGAGCTCCTAATAATTCCCTCATACAGTATATGGTAATTTCCCCTACCTGCAGACTCACCTTCTATATGGTTCCAGGGGAGAAAGAGTTTTAGGAATCCATCTTTCTGGTCCCAATGGTCATAGAGCTGTTTGGTCTGGACCTGGAAGTGCAAGTGATGGCTCCCTAATTTGGCAGGAGCTTCCTGAAGTGAAAGAAGTGGCATGATTTCAGAGAGCTGGTGGCTACTAGGTGTTAATCCCTGATTCAGCTGGTAGTTTCCTATTCTTAGTGGGAGCAGCAGCTTCCTTTACAGCTCAGCTCTAGAGTGTGGCTTTGAGAGTTGTTTCTGGAAGGCTGGCCTACAGTTTCCCCAGCCCATCTAATCATATTGTAAGCCATTTAATATCTTGCATTAAATCCATGTCTTTTTTTTTTTTTTTTTTTGAGAAGGAATTTTGCCCTTGTGCCCAGGCTGGAGTGCAATGGTGTGATCTCAGCTCACTGCAACCTCCGTCTCCTGGGGTTCAAGCGATTCTCCTGCCTCAGCCTCCTGAGTAGCTGGGATTACAGGTGCCCACCACCACGCCCAGCTAATTTGTTATGTTTTCAGTAGAGACGGGTTTTCACTGTGTTGGCCAGGCTGGTCTCGAACTCCTGACCTCAGGCAATCCACCCACCTCGGCCTCCTAAAGTGCTGAGACTACAGGTGTGAGCCACTGTGCCTGGCTACAATAAATCCATTTCTGTACAAAGGAGTAGTAATTTTTTTCCCTCTGCCACTGAAACCTAACCAAAAAGCAAGGGACTAGGAAGTCCTATACAACTGACGTGATTTATTACTATGTAGATTATTAGAATACAGATGTAATTTAATATTTATGAAATTTCACATACTCTATTGTCAGGGACATCCAGCTTCAAACAAAAATATATGCTCCTGTAACATTCTACAAATTGAATTTTCAAAAAATCCTACCAAATTTAAATTCTATTGAAATGTTTTATTGTTCTCTAGTGCCATTAGGACTGTGGTTTGCATGCAACAGAATTATACTAGATTTAAGCAAGATAAAAATAAATTTATATAAGAATACAGGTCATCTCATGAAACTCCAGGGCTAGGAAGTGGTAGAACCTCAGGAAGAACCTGGAGCCAAGGATTACAGTGTTGTAGAGAACTTAGGAAGCCCTCTTGCCAGCTCTCACTCTTTCTCTCTGTGTATCTCCTTCATTCTTTCTCATTACTCACTGTAAGGAATATGGCTGTGCTTTGGTCAAGGATAGGCCACTGTAAACATCCTGAGTGGATCAGCGAGTTTAGAGCACAGGCGTATAACTCCACTTGTTATCACAGCCGTGTAGCCATAACATGGGAAGGCCATCCCTTGGCTCTAAGCCACTACTGTCTGTAAAAGGTATAATTGCCCTGATAACAATGTACAGGCGTGATGGAGCCCAGAGAAAGAGAAAGAGAGTCAAAGCAGTCCATCTTTGCAGACAGACAGAGGGGAGCCAGGACACAGCTTGGCTTGCTCATGCCAAGAGAGAGAAAGAGTTTAGCTGCTGACCCTGAAGGCAAGGGAGAGCCAGCCATGCAGCTGTGTGTGGGAGCCGCTGGACTAAGCAGCCGAGACAGGGCGGACAGTGTGAGAGAGCTGTTGGAGAGAGCTGTTGATGAGAGCTGCTGCTGAATCATCTTTCACCTGCTTACGGTCCCCCTGGGTGTTCTTTCTGCTCATCTACCCACTCCCCTCGGACCCCAGCATGACAATTGGCGTAGTTGTGAACCTGACACTAACGTTCTCTGTATCCTAATCTACTGGGGTTTGTTTGTTTTTTTTTTTTTTTTAAAAGGCCTCCAGGCCAGACATGGTGGCTCACACCTATAATCCCAGCACTTTGGAAGGCTGAGGCAGGCAGATCACTTGAGCCCAGGAATTAGAGACCAGCCTGGACAACATGGTGAGACCTCTGTCTCTACAAAAAATACAAAAATTAGCTGGGCATGGTAGTGTACGCCTGTGGTCCCAGCTACTCAGGAGGCTGATGTGGGAAAATTGCTGGAGCCCAGGGGATCGAGGCTGCAGTGAGCTATGATCATGCCACTGCATTCCAGCCTGAGTGAAAGAGCAAGACCAAGTCTCAAAAATAAATAAATAAACAAAAATAAAAGAATAGACACGTAGACTGAGGCAGGAATCTCCCAGACTCAATTCCAGAGTGTTAAGGAAAGTCCATGAGTAACCCAGCTTCAGTCTGGTGCCCAGTTCAGCCAAGCTACACAACTCTAAAGGATGCCATTCATCTTGTTTTCTATGAAAGAGTGCCCCTGGTGCATATTTTACAGAAGGGAATGTGATTGATGCCCCTTGGGCACCAATCAGCTGGAGTCTGGAGTCCGAGTTCCGCATAGGAACTTGGCAATGGGTGCTGTGCTCCTGGAACCACATAGATTATGGGTAGGGGAAGGTGGCTGTAGATAGGGGAAATTACCATATACTGTACGAGGGAATTATTAGGAGCTCAGGAGACAAGTTCATGGATATCTATTACAAGAATAGTATACTGATTTTAAATATATTAGACCAGGAAGAGACAAACTATGGCCCACAGGCCAGATCCAGTCTGCTCCTGTTTTTGCAAACATGGTTTCATTAGAACACAACCATGCTCATTTATTTGTGTATTGTCAAGGGCCTCATTTGTTCTAGAATGGCAGAGTTGAGCAAGTTGCAACAGAGATTATACAGTTCACAAAGACTACAATATTTACTACCTGGCTCCTTACAGGAAACTGTTGACCCTTTGCCTAGATCCTTGATGCTCAAAAGAAGGTCCACAAGCCTGCAGTCTCAGCATCATCTGAGTTGTCAGGCCTTCACCTGGAACTACTAAATCAGAACTTGCATTTAAATAAGATCCCCAGGGGATTCAGAGGCACATTAAAGTTTGAGAAGCACCATGTTAAACTCAAGCAATACTATTGAAATGTTCATTTCACAAATACCCCAGCATGTTAGATTAGTGTGCCACTATCCCTGGATTTGATGTAGTGATTTTTTTTCTGACTATGTCAAGGCAAAGTGTCATTACCATCAGCACAAATCCTTACTAAACATCTGCCTGGACAAAAAGATACCTGGTTACAATTTGTTAGGTACCTACTCATTCATTCAATTATAATAGATATTTATTGAGGGCATACTCTGTGCCAGGCATTGGACCACAATAATGAACAAACTGGCACAGTTCCAGCCTTCACGTTGTTGTGGAGCTTTCATGTATCATTTTATCTATTTCTTCCTAAAAGCTTTTAGGTGGATACTTTCATCTCCATGAGGAAACCGAGGTGCAGAGAGGCTAAATGACTTGCTCAAAGTCATATAGCTGGTGAGTGGTGGAGGTGAAAATTGAACATAAGTGGTGCCATCTTGGCTCACCGCAACCTCTGCCTCCCTGGTTCAAGCGATTCCCCTGCACGCCACTATACCTGGCTAATTTTTCTATTTTTAGTAGAGATGGGGTTTCACCATGTTGGCTGGGTTGGTCTTGAACTCCTGACCTCTAGCGATCTGCCTGCCTCAGCCTCCCAAAGTGCTGGGATTACAGGCATGAGCGACCGTGCCCAGCTGCATTTTATTAATAAGCAGAAATGGATTAATAATTACCTCAGTTCATCTATACACCCTAAAAGCACCTAACATAATTAAACAATTTTAAAAAGGCGAACTGTCAGAATTAATACATAAATCTAACAAATTATTGGATTTTTTTTCCCTAGCTGATTTCTGGTTTGAACTGAGGACAAACTTATTCTGACTTTGTCACAACCTTTATGTGTCCTGATTTTAGCACCTGTAAATAGTTCTCAACCTAAGGGTAGTACAAGGTTTCTTGGGAGGTAATGATTTATCACTTAAAATGTAAGAAGAACTTTAAACAATTCAGCCCATTTAGCAGGCATTCGGTGAGCAGTTGTGGTATGTTGGGAGCAAGGGAGACAAATAACAGGGCATCAACTTTGAACTGTTCAAAGTGAGTCAGTCAGACCTGGAGTTGGGAAGGCTCCAGGATAGTATGACAAAGGCTGCTGAGGAGCTGGAGCAAAGGGAGTATAGAGGAGGTAGCAAGAACTGTGCCTGGGGCTTGAGAGAAGGCTTTGCTGAAGCTGCATAGGACCTCTGTCTCAGAGTTCATCTAAACAGACTGAGATAATGAGATAAGCACACGTTCCTTACTTGAGGGTGATCCCAAGAAATATGATGATGGAGTAGGAAAGTGAGATAGAACAGGGAAGAAAGCCATTAACGAGAGGGTTACAGCTGGGAGCAACTGGGGCTCCATCCTGCTGGGTACCCTCCAAGGGAATGGGTAGAAGCACACCTCGGAATTATCCTACCAAGGAGTAAGGAAGCTGGGGCATTTTCCACCAACTCCCACCCCACATTGATTAAGAATTGCTCCTGAGGGTGCTAATTCTCTAGTACCTCAGCCTCCCGCTCACATAAGCCAAGACTCCTCCTGCAACCAGATAAAGCCTTCAAGCCAAGAGATGCAGGTGTTAGAGGTATATGGCATCCACTGTTCTCAGAAGCCGCAGGTGCCCTCTGGGCTGGGCTAAGGGCAACGCCTCCATTTCTTCAGCAATGTATGAGAGTTCCAGTTTTTCCACATCTCCGAATCTTGCTATTGCTAGACTTTTTTTTTTTTTTTTTTGCATGACAGAGTCTTTACTTTTAAATGATTACTGATACACCAAGTAATAACATGTAACAAGTTCTTGAATTCTATCATCTAGTGATTTTGATTAAGAGAAACTAAAAGCAGCCCCAGATAATTCCACTAGTATTCACTGTTCTAACCATTAGCAAGAATGGACTATGTTAAGGCTGACTGCTGCTTCACACAGGTTACAAAGAACTATTTACTACTTTTTCGTAGATAAAGCCCCGACCTTCAAGAAAGTGTTAGGGAAAAAAAATATTTAATCCCTTCCTTTCTTCAAAGAATGGTTATGTGGTGTTTTTTTTTAAAACTAGATCTAAGAAAGAAAAAGTCAACAGTGATATACATGTTGCTTGAGCCAAAAGGCATAGGAAAAAAAGACAACATATACCCATTAAATTCCTAAGAAATATGAGGTAAAAAGATGAAATCTTTAATTTCTAAGTCTGTACAAAAAAGCTAGATTTGCTACTGTCCAAAAAGTGGAAGGACCTACTATATAATATATGGAAATAATTTAATGCCATTTCATAAGAATATAACTAGAGCTGTGCTAAAGCTTCATATTCATGAGGGCATCTAAAATGCCACTCCACAGAACAGGTGTTCTCTCTTCTTCTATCCATTTATGCGGTAGTTTTCATGGATTTCTGGCTGAATGTCACAGACAAAAGCCAAGAGGTTATCCAAGACTTCATCCCTGTTCTGCTGGAAGCAGGCCTGGAGGATGGTCATCTTCTCCTGGGTCTCCTTCTCCACTTCAGTGCTACAACTGCCATGGGATCCCAGTGCCGCAGCTTCCTTGGCCTTGAATTCTTTCTCCCTCAGCAGGCGGTACTGTTCAATTTCAGCCTGAGCTGCTTCTATAGCCTGCTTCAGCTTCCGGTTCCTTCTTTTACAGGCCTCAGAGACACCTCGGCTGCCCGCTTCTCGGCCTGCAGCAGCTGCTGAATGCCCTGTGACTGACTAGCCATGGCGGCAGCGATTCTGAGACCAAGGCAAGCCGCCTAAAGCACCTCAAAGGCCGCTATTGCTAGACTCTTAAATCCTAGCCAATTTGATGGTATCAGTTAGTGTATTTCACTGTTGTTTTAATTTGCATTGTAATTTTAATGTTCATTAATCTTTTATTTTGTAGTTAGAAGATACGGAATCTTGTTTAAGAAATCTTTATCCTGAGGTAAAAAAAATTCTACTATAATTTCTCCTAAATGATTTATATAGGTTTTTTTGTTTTTCACATTCAAGTCTTTGACATGGAGTTAATTTTTTGTTTGTTTGTTTTTCTTTGAGACAGAGTCTTGTTCTGTCACCCAGGCTGGAGTGCAGTGGAATGATCTCGGCTCACTACAGCCTCCACCTCCCAGGTTCCAGTGATTCTCCTGCCTCAGCCTCCTGAGTAGCTGGGATTATAGGCATGCGTCACCACGCCTGGCTAATTTTTGTATTTTTAGTAGAGATGGGATCTCACCACGTTGACCAGGCTGGTCTCAAACTCCTGACCTCAGGTGATCTGCCCACCTCAGCCTCCCAAAGTGCTGGGATTGCAGGTGTGAGCCATGGTGCCTGGCTGGAGGATAATATCCTGAAGAGTGTTTTCCAACTTGGTTCCATTCTTCCCATCACTTTCAGGTACACCAATCAGACGTAGATTTGGTCTTTTCACATAGTCCCATATTTCTTGGAGGCTTTGTTCGTTTCTTTTTACTCTTTTTCTCCAAACCTCCCTTCTCGCTTCATTTCATTCATTTGATCTTCAATCACTGATACCCTTTCTTCCACTTGATCGAATTGGCTACTGAAGCTTGTGCATTCGTCACATAGTTCTCGTGCCATGGTTTTCAGCTCCATCAGGTCATTTAAGGACTTCTCTACACTGGTTATTCTAGTTAGCCATTTGTCTAATCTTTTTTCAAGGTTTTTAGCTTCTTTGCGATGGGTTCGAACTTCCTCCTTTAGCTCAGAGAAGTTTGATCATCTGAAGCCTTCTTCTGTCAACTTGTCAAAGTCATTCTCCGTCTGGCTTTGTTCCATTGCTGGCAAGGAGCTGCATTCCTTTGGAGGGGGAGAGGTGCTGATTTTTAGAATTTTCAGCTTTTCTGCTCTGTTTTTTCCCCATCTTTGTGGTTTTATCTACCTTTGGTCTTTGATGATGGTGACGTACAGATGAGGTTTTGGTGTGGATGTCCTTTCTGTTAGTTTTCCTTCTAACAGTCAGGACCCTCAGCTGCAGGTCTGTTGGAGTTTGCTGGAGGTCCACTCCAGATGCTGTTTGCCTGGGTATCACCAGCGGAGGCTACAGAACAGCGAATATTGCTGAACAGCAAATGTTGCTGCCTGATTGTTCCTCTGGAAGTTTCGTCTCAGAGGGATACCTGGCTGTATGAGGTGTCAGTCTGCCCCTACTGGAGGGTGCCTCCTAGTTAGGCTACTCAGGGGTCAGGGACCCTCTTAGGGAGGCAGTCTGTCCTTTCTCAGATCTCAAACTCTATGCTGAGAGAACCACTACTCTCTTCAAAGCTGTCAGACAGAGACATTTAAGTCTGCAGAGGTTTCTGCTGCCTTTTGTTCGCCTATGCCTGTCCCCAGAAGGAGTCTACAGAGGCAGGCAGGCCTCCTTGAGCTGCGGTGGGCTCCACCCAGTTTGAACTTCCTGACTGCTTTGTTTACCTACTCAAGCCTCAGCAATGGTGGGCGCCCCTCCCCCAGCCTTGCTGCCACCTTGCAGTTCGATCTCAGAGTGCTGTGCTACCAGTGAGCGAGGCTCCATGGGCATGGGACCCTCCAAGCCAGGTGCAGGATATAATCTCCTGGTGTGCTGTTTGCTAAGACCATTGGAAAAGCACAGTATTAGGGTGGGAGTGACACACATTTTAGGTGCCAACTGTCACAACTTCGCTTGGGTAGGAAAGGTAATTCCCAGACCTCTTGCGCTTCCCTGGTGAGGCGATGCCTCACCCTTCTTTGGCTCACACTCGGTGCACTGCACCCACTGTCCTGCACCCACTGTCCGACAAGCCCCAGTGAGATGAACCCGGTACCTCTGTTGGAAATGCAGAAATCACCCATCTTCTGCGTCGCTCATGCTGGGAGCTGTAGACTGGAGCTGTTCCTATTTGACCATTTTGGAACCGCCAAAGGTAATCAGTTTCTCCTGCTGTTAACATCCTATATTACCATGGGACATATATCACAACTAAGAAATCAACGTTGGTACATGACTATAAATTAAACATTTTATTAGCATTTCACCAGTTTTCTCCCCAAAGTCCTTTTGCTGTTTGAGGATCCTCTTCATGACACCACATTACATTCTGTCATCATGTCTCCCTAGCCTCTTCTGGTCTGATAGTTTCTCTTACTTTGTTGTCCTTGATGACATTCACAGTTTTGAGAAGCACTGGCCAGGGTTTGTTTGTTTGTTTGTTTGTTTTTGCAAATGTCCCTCAATTTGTGTTTGTCTAGTGTTTTTCTCATGGTTAGACTGGGGTCATAGGTTTTGAAAAAAATCACAGAGGTGAAATACCATTCTCATTCCATGATGTTGTTACTGAACCAGGCTTCTTCTTCCTGTCAGGCAGTATGTCAATCACTGAGATGATTAGTTTTGCAGCAGACAGTTTATTCATGAGGCAGCCAAACAAGGATATGGGAAAACAGATCTCAAATCTGCCTCCCTGAAGATGGAATTTAGGGATATGTATAGAATACAGGAGCAAGATGGTCCAAAGCATGGAGAAAGGTGATTGTAGTAAGGAAAAGTGAGGTAATTGGTCATCTGTGCAAGCACGATCAGACTTCATGGCTCTTCGTAGAATATATGTTCAGAAAATTACAGCATTAGCATGATCTGAGGGTGGAGTTTTTGGCCCTCTGACATCAAAAGGTGACCCATCAGATGCTCACACAGGCCCAGTTGAAAGTTTGGTGGTCTCGGCTGACTTGAACTGGACAAGAACTGACTCTCTAAGTTCCTGAAAAACAACTTAAGCAACAATTACCATGGTGACCTATACATCAGAGATGTTATCTACAAGAAAGCTAGTGGACATTTAGTTATGTATTACTTAGCAATGTGACTTTTAGCTATATAGGTTTTAAAATCAACTAAAAGCAAATTAATAAAGACAAGCAAGGTATGTTAAATTTGGTGGGCCTAATCAGGTTAGTCCTCAGTTTCAATATCAAGGGTACATTGCCATTAACATGAGGTATTAGTCTTCTCTCACACTGCTATGAAGAAATACCAGAGACTGGGTAATTTATAAAGAAATGCGGTTTAATTGGCTGATGGTTCTGCAGACTGTATAGGAAGCATGGCAGCTTCTGGAGAGGCCTCAGGAAACTTATAATCATGGTGGAAGGTGAAGGGGAAGTGAGGCATCTCACATGGCCAGAGCAAGAGGAAGAGAGAGAGGGGGAAGGTGCTACACACTTTTAAACAACCAGATCTCATGAGATCTCACTCACTATCATGAGAACAGCAACCAGGGTTATGGTGTTAAGCCATCCATGAGAAACACTCTCATGATTCAATTACCTTCTACCAGGCCCCAACATTGGGGATTACGATTTGACATAAGATTTGGACAGGAACACAGATCCAAACCATGTCATTCTACCCCCAGCTCCTCCCAAATCTCATGTCATTTTCACATTTCAAAGAACAACCCCGTGCATTCCCAAGAGTCCCCCAAAATTTTAACTTATTCTAGCATTAACCCGAAGTCCAAAGTCCAAAGTCTCATCTGAAATGGGAAGTCCCTTCCACCTATGAGTCTATAAAATAAAAAACAAGTTAGTTACTTCCAGATACAGTGGGGGTATAGCTGTTGTGTAAATCAAGCTTGTCCAACCCATGGCCCATGAGCCACACGTAGCCCAGGACAGCTTTGGATGTGGCTCAGCACAAATTTCTTAAAGAACTATGAGATATATTTTGCAACTTTTTTTTAGTTTATCAGCTCTTGTTAGTGTCAGTGTATTTTATGTGTGGACCAAGACAATTCTTCTTCCACTGTGGCTCAGGGAACCAAAAGATTGAACACCCCTGGGGTAGATACTCCTATTTCAAAAGGGAGAAATCAGCCAAAAGAAAGGGGCTACAGGCACCACGCAAGACCAAAACCCAGCAGGGCAACCATTAAATCTTAAAACTCCAAAATAATCTCTTTTGAATTCATGTCTCACATCCAGGGCACTCTGATGCAAGGGAAGGGGCTCCCAAGGCCTTGGGCAGCTCTGCACCTGTGGCTTTGCTGGTTCAGCCCCCAGAACAGTGGCTCTCAGGGGCTGGCATTGAGTGCCTATGGCTTTCCAGGCACAGGGTGCAAGCTGCCAGTGGATCTACCATTCCAGGGTCTGGTTCTTACAGCTCCACTAGGCAGTACCCCAGTGGGGACTCTGTATGGGGTCCAGCCTCACATTTTCCCTCTGCATCACCCTAGAAGAGGTTCTCCCTGGGGGCTTCACTCCTGCAGCAGGCTTCTGCGTGGACATACAGGGTTTTCCATACATCCTCTGAAATCTAGGCAGAGGCTCCCAAGCCTCAACTTGTGTATTCTGTGCACCTGTAGGCTTAATACCATATGCAAACTGTCAAGACTTATGACTTGCACTCTCTGAAGCAATGGCCCAAGCTGTACTTGGGCCCTTTTGAGCCACAGCTGGAGCTAGAGTGACTGGGACACAGGGAGAAGTGTCCCAAGGCTGCCCTGTGCCTGGCCCACAAACCATTTTGTCCTCCTAGACCTCCAGGCCTGTGATGGGAGGGGATGCCTTGAAGGTCTCTGAAATGCCTCTGAAGCTCTTCCCCCATTGTCTTGGATGTTATCATTTGGCTCCTCTTTACTTATGAAAATTTCTGCAGCCTGCTTGAATTTCTTTCCTGAAAATGGGCCTTTCTTTTCTACCATGGCCAGGCTGCAAATTTTCCAAACTTTAATGCTCTGCTTCCCCTTTAAATATAAGTTTTAGTTTTAGGTCATTTCTTTGTTCATACATATGAGCTATAGGTTATTATAAGCAGCCAGGCCACGTCTTGAACACTTTTCTGCTTAGAAATTTCTTCCACCAGATACCCTAAATCATCTCTTTCAAGTTCAAAATTCCATAGATCCCTAGGGCAGGGGCACA